GACTCTCTCTGTCCTCTCACATCTCGGCAGGCTCGTCAGTCCCCTCCTGCTCCCTGGCTAAATGACGCACTGCGTGCTAATAGCACCGTCCTTAGGGCAGCAGAGCGGAAACGGTGGAAATCCAAACACCATGACGACCTCCTAACCTATCAGGCTCTCCTCTCCTCTTTCTCTGCTTCGATTTCTCAAGCAAAAAGCACTTTCTTTCAAGATAAGATCCAATCTTCCTATTCCAATCCCAAAAAAACTATTTTCCATCTTCTCCACCCTCTTGGACCCTCCCAAAGCCCCTCCCCCCTCCTCACTTCTGTCAAGCGACTTTGTTAACCACTTTGAAAAAAAGGTTGATGATATTCGCTCTTCTTTTTCTGACTCACTTTTACTCACCGCTGGGTCACCAGACCCTCCTTCCACCCACATACTAACCTCCTTTTCCCATCTCTCTCCAAGTGAGGTTCTTACCCTCATTACCTCTGCCCGCCCTACCACCTGTCCTCTGGACCCTATCCCTTCAAACCTCCTTCAGACTATCGCTCCAGATATTCTACCGTTTCCCTCCCATCTCATCAACACTTCTCTAGCTTCTGGTCACTTTCCAAACAGTCTCAAGGAGGCAAGAGTAAACCCTCTCCTAAAGAAACCCACTCTCAACCCGTCTGATGTTATAAACTGCAGGCCTGTCTCTCTACTCCCGTTCCTGTCTAAAACACTTGAACGCGCTGTCTTTAAACAACTCTCCTGTTATCTCCATCAGAACAACCTTCTGGATCCGCACCAGTCTGGTTTCAAGGCAGGTCACTCCACAGAAACTGCTCTCATTGCTGTCACTGAGGAACTGCACACTGCCAAAGCAGCATCCCTCTCCTCTGTCATCATCCTGTTGGACCTGTCTGCTGCATTCGACACGGTGAACCATCAGATCCTCCTTCACACTCTCCAAGAACTTGGAGTTTCAGGCTCTGCACTTTCCCTCTTCACCTCATACCTCAAAGACCGTACCTACAGGGTAACTTGGAGAGGGTCCGAGTCCAACCCTTGTCAATTAACTACAGGGGTCCCTCAGGGCTCTGTTCTTGGTCCCCTCCTCTTCTCCCTGTACACAAACTCGCTCGGATCAGTCATTAGCCCGCATGGTTTTTCATACCACTGCTACGCTGACGACACCCAATTAATTCTGTCCTTTCCCCGCTCAGAGACCCAGGTCGTCGCACGCATCTCTGCTTGTCTAGCTGACATCTCTCAGTGGATGTCTGCTCATCACCTCAAGCTCAACCTTGACAAGACTGAACTGCTTTTTCTTCCGGGAAAAGATTGTCCCACTCTTGACCTGACAATCAACATCGGCACCTCTGTTGTTTCCCTGACTCAGACTGCAAGGAATCTGGGTGTGATCCTAGATAACAACCTGTCCTTCACTGCAAACATCGCTGCTACAACCCGTTGCTGCAGATACACGCTTTACAACATCAGGAAGATACGTCCCCAGCTGACCCAGAAAGCCACGCAGGTTCTGGTCCAGGCTCTCGTCACCTCACGCCTAGACTACTGCAACTCCCTCCTGGCTGGTCTATCTGCATGTGCCATCCGACCTCTGCAGCTCATCCAGAATGCAGCGGCTCGTCTGGTCTTCAACCTTCCTAAATTTTCCCACACCACTCCGCTCCTCCGCTCCCTTCACTGGCTTCCGGTAACTGCTAGAATCCACTTCAAGACACTGGTACTTGCATACCATGCTGCGAATGGATCTGGCCCTTCCTACATCCAGGACATGGTTAAACTGTATACCCCAGCGCGTGCACTACGCTCTGCATCAGCCAAACGACTCACTGCACCCTCGCTGCGAGGGGGACCCAAGTTCCCATCAGCAAAAACACGTGGGTTTGCTATCCTGGCTCCAAAATGGTGGAATGAGCTCCCCATTGACATCAGGACAGCAGAAAGCCTGCACATCTTCCGGCGCAGACTGAAAACTCATCTCTTTCGACTCCACCTCGAGCGATAGAACTACTAACAAATAACTGCTAACAGAGCACTTATATACTAATAAAGGACTGGCTTATCTATACTCAGTTGAGTAGCACTTGACATTTTTGGCTCTATGAAACCTGATGTACTTATATGATTCTGTTTTCTTCAAGGTTGTGTCTTCCTGGTCGAATGTACGTATTGTAAGTCGCTTTGGATAAAAGCGTCAGCTAAATGTAATGTAATGTTATTTGAGTTTTGCCTATTTCCTTTGAATATTGTAAAGGCCTATATTTCTTTGTTGGATGTGCAAAAGTTTGTTATTTTATTTTGAGCAAATACATCGCAACATCTTCTAAACCATCGGAGGCCAAGCAACACTTCAAACTGTGAGTAATTTAAGGAGAGAAACGAGTTAGAACTGTCCTATTAAGGCGTCTAGTGGCTTGGTGGAAAAACAAGGAAGAAAGCCACGACATTGTTAAAAACTCTCGTGACGGACAAATCCATGTGGAATTAAATGGTTGCCACCATATTATTATAATGAATGAAATACTCTTGGAAATGAATGGATACGAGCGGATGTGAATCGTGAGTTTACAAATCACGGACTTCATAGTGAACAAGGAAGGACCGCATTGACTTTCTGGATTGTGACAACGTGGATTTCTGTGGAAAAAGGCTTGTGCCGCATGTTGTGGATGTTGCAATACAGTATAATCTAATGCTGGAAGTGGAATACATTTGCTTATGAATAAAGTGTGGAACGTATCTCAAGGAGCGCATCTTGAAAAGCGCTTTAATAAGTTTGTCTATCTGGCTTACTGCCGCGGATCCAAGCCGCACACTAACAAAGCGCAACATTAAAATAAGGACAGCTGTTTACAAGTGGATGTTTAATGACAATAAAGCATAACAATGGCTGAAAAGGAAAATGTGGAAACGAATGAAAGTCCTATGGACCCAAACGGGAATGAACGTGAAGTGCCCGTGGAAAATGCTGACGTCAGACATCAAAGGACATCTAAGCAAAGACTGTCAGAAAAGAATGAAATGTGAAGTTTGTTCAATGAAACATCCAACAATATTGCACATCTACAAGAAAAGGATTGAACAAAAAGACAACTCTGATAAATACACCCAAGCAGCTTCTGTAAGCAGTGCATTAGTCTCTTTAAATGGCAGAAACCCTATCAATTATCCCAGTTCAAATAAAGTTGTCAAACTCGAACCAGACTGTGCAGACGTACGCATTTATGGATCAGGGAAGCACTGCAAGTTTCTGTACTGAAGCCCTTCAACAAGATTTGCATGCCAAAGCCAAGAGAACAAAAATCCTCTTGAAAACAATGGATCAGGAGAAAATGATTGACACTTCCTTTGTCAAAGGTCTTGAAGTGAGTTGCATCGAAGGCAATGATTTTTATCAGCTGCCTAAAGTCTACACACAAGAGGAAATTCCTGCTGGAAAAGAGCACATTCCCACTCAAGAGACCATAAATAAATGGAAATATCTAAGAGAAATTAAGTTGCCTGAATTGGATTGTGAAATTAGGTTGCTTAAAGGAACAAATGCACCAAAGCTAATGGAGCCGTGGAAAATAATAAACAGTCAAAATGGAGGACCTTTTGCTGTTAAGACAGTCCTAGGTTGGGTTGTAAATGGACTGAATCAGGAAACCACTGAATCTGAGAATACTTCATGTGCTGTTGTTAATCGGATATCAGTGACAGATTTAGGTGAGCTGCTGGTGCAGCAATACAATCATGACTTTCCAGAGAAAGGTTGTGATGAGAAGAAAGAGATGTCAGTTGAAGACATACAATTTTTAAAGATCATGTCAGATTCAGCTCAAATCAAAGATGGACATTATCAGCTTGAACTTCCATTCAAACAGAAGAATATCATGATGCCAAACAATCGCAAACTTGCAGAGCAGAGAGCAGAATCATTAAAAAGGAAATTCAAAAGGAACAAAGTTTTCCATGATGAATATAAAACATTCTTGAAGGCTGTGATAGCAAAAGGTCATGCTCAGCTACTGCCCCAAGAGCAGCTCAAACCTGAGAGTGGAAAGGTGTGGTACATACCACATCATGGGGTTCATCACCCAAAGAAGGGCAAGATTTGTGTAGTGTTCGATTGTTCCGCATCTTATCAAGGATATTCATTAAATGACAAGCTTATTCAGGGTCCCAATCTTACCAACACGCTACTTGGTGTGCTCATTCGATTCAGACAAGAACAGATAGCTTTCATGGCTGATGTCGAGGGGATGTACCATCAGGTCAAGGTGGCTCCTGCCGATCAAGATTATCTTTGCTTTCTTTGGTGGCCAGGAGGAGATGTCAGTTTACCTCTCGCTGAGTACAGGATGACAGTACATCTATTTGGTGCCACTTCATCAGCAAGTTGTGCAACCTATGCTCTCACTAAAACCGCTGAAGACAACAAAGATGATTTCTCTGCAGAAGCTGTTGACACTGTCGGAAGACATTTCTATGTTGATGACTGCTTAAAATCTGTGGCTTCTGCTTGTAACGGAGGTGATCTCTGGGCCCATAGATCTCGGCCTCCGTTACGGGTAATATAGCACTAAAAACATTGCACAGGAAGCATGGGAATATATGTAATTTATGTAACTAGTTTGTCTGTCTCTGTTTCCTGGTTTCATGTTAAAAGTGTTCCCCTTCCCCCATGTCTGTGGCTGTTGATTGTGTGCACCTGGTGCCCTGTGTTGTCTCCTCCCCCCCCCACCTGTGTCGAATTGCTGATTAGTGTGTGTATTTAGGGTCTGTTGCCCTGTCTGTGTTGGAGGCTGAGAGTGTGTGTGAGATCCTGGTGGTGGCTGGTGACTGTGTTCACACGTGGGCAGCAGATTGATGCCGTGTCATGTTTATGACGTAATAAATGCCCACACCGGTTTGTATTTTGGACGTTCTGCCTCTGCCTCCTTCCTTGGTCTGGGCTGCTCAATTGTCAGCTTCACAATTGGTGTCAGAACTGAGATTGACCAAATGAAGAGGTGAGAGTGATGGAGGAACTGAGGGAGATGATGAGGTTACTCCAGCAGCTTCAGGCAGCCGGTGAACAGCAGTTCGCACGGGAAGAGGAATGGAGACTCCGGAGGCAGGACGGCAGATTGGCTGGAGGCTCGACGGGCGCTGGCTCTGCCGCTGAGGCATCAGAGATCCTGGCGGAGAACCAGAGATTGGTGCAAGAGCAGAAAGAGGAGCAGCTCTGGTTACAGAGGGAAGAAGAGAGGAAGGCAGAAGCATTGAGAACGGTTGGAAAGATGGCGGCACACACTCAGAAGAATAACAAGCCAAGGAAACCTGGAGGAAAGGAGTCGCAGCTTTTGATAATTGCCAAAACTCCGGAGTTCGTCCGGGAGGTGATGGGTTCCAGCGCCGGTGCAGGCAGCGGGGAGTTCCACGTTTACCGGCACCTCCGACGCAGGAAGAAGCGGGAAAAACTAAAGCACAAAATGCGGATGGAAAAGATAGCCGAGAAGGTCCGTCAGGAGAGAGAGCACGTCAGACCGCAGAACCAGCAGGAGCGCATGGAGAGGAAGGAAGGGAAGCTTCTTTTCGACTTCACGGCCCCCCCTGAGGAAACCAAGATTCCTAAGACATTGTATTTCCTGGGGAGAGGGGTAAGGAAATGTAACGGAGGTGATCTCTGGGCCCATAGATCTCGGCCTCCGTTACGGGTAATATAGCACTAAAAACATTGCACAGGAAGCATGGGAATATAAGGAGTTCTTTTCCAAAACGCTATAAACGCCAAATTGAAAAAAATTGAGTTTGTCGTGCCATTTTGCTGTGTACTGAACCTATTCACTGCTCTATCAACGTTTCATGCCAAATCGCTATATATCCTTGTTTAACATGTACGGCAAGATGCAGTTCCTTTCCAAACCGCGATAAACGCCGAACCTATTTTGAGCCTAAACGCGATATATCCTCTCTACCAATCAGAATTCGGTGAGCGTTCTATGCAATCCAACATGGCGGCGCCCTGAGTCGAGGTTTGTTTATGTTCATTCAGTCTTCGAAATATGTCTTTAAACTGTTGTAACACCTTTGATGGCCTGGATGAGCCAGTGAGACCTACACCTGGGGGTAGAAAACGTCGACTGGATAAAGAAAACCACAAAAACCAACAACAAAAGAAGGTTCGTCACTCGGGTGGCGCGTTATACCGACTGTGGGATGTCAACACAAAGCTGCTGCGAAAGGTTTCTGTCAGGCCGAGAAGCTGTCACCAGACAACCTGATGATGAACTTCAAACATTTCTATGAAAAACCAAACAAGGTTGACCAGGACCGGGCTATACTTCATCTCCTGGACATCACGCAAGTGAAAAGGAAGCGTCCGAAAGTTCAAGACGTAAACAAACAAAAAGACCGGAACGTATCTGTAAAGTTCAATCTCCTGTGCAACAGTCACCCAGAGAAGGTTCCCGTTTGCAAGGCGACCTTCATTAAAGTATTTGTTGAGTACAACTTTCGTTTCAGGCCTGCTAAGTGGCCTGCTGGCCTGAGGATTTTACGTTACGTGTATTGTTGTTGTTGTTAGCATCTGGTGCTAGCTAGCGGCGCTAATGGATATAATGAGCTGTCAACAAGGTGGAGAAGAGTCCTCTCCTGTCAGACTGAGAGACTGATAACCTCAGCTCAGGTGAGGTAAAGGACTCTGAGTGTTTAGATAGTTAACTTAGTCTAAGTTATCTCAGTGGGTCTCAAACGGTTTGGTCACCATTTATGTAAACACATATTTCCATTTGAGGGGGGAGTGATTAGTAAAATATGCATGAATAATAATTTAAAAAAACGTTAACTAGGTGAAAAAAGGTAAGATAAACTTTAAAAACTTGTTGAGAGCTAAAACTAGTCTTTGCTGCTGCCTCAAAGAGGAGCAGGGGGGAGAGGAGGGAGACAGGTGAGGCTGGTTCAGGAGCACAGACACACTCACAACTATAAATGAACCAAAAACAAATAAATAAACAAGTTTCAATGTTTTTTCATATTGGATATGGTATGTTATTGGTTATGGCCATGATTTTATGATTATTTAAATGTATACAGTTCTGTTTCATATGGGTGTAGTCTCTTTATTTCCCCCTCAAAATGCACCAGATTCATGCATTTAAGTCCAACATTTACACATTGTGTGTGTGTGTATGAATATCATTATCATTACTTTTTACAGGTTCAACACTTTACTGAATGCCTTATTGAATGTATTACTGAATTAGTTGCCTATTGAATATCGTTATCATTACTATCATTACTTTTTACAGGTTCGGCACTGAATGACTATTGGCCTAAATGTGTTACTAAATTATTTGAATGTATTTTTAACATTGTTGTAATAGTGGTATTTGTATGTGTTATGTAAAGGAATATTTTGGTCTTGTTAAAGTATATAGAGTTTAGTGATTTGTCCTCGGGAATCTGTTTAATGGTTAAAGTGTATTCCTGCCTGTAATGTGATCCATAGCTTCTCAGGAAGACACAGGTCAAGAGGTCATCTGATGTCTTGTGGGGGAGAAGCTTGGCCCATGTGGGTTCACAATGCAACGAGTCTTTGTCTCGACATCTGGCATGCATTAAAGGAAAACCCGCGTGTTTTAGGGCCCTCCTCTTCTTGTCTGCATAGTTGGGTGCTTGGCGCTTTTAGAGTTCAGAGTTTGCTGGTATCTTACAGGAGAACTGTGATATGCTGTGAACTCTCCGGCCGCTGAGGCTCTCAATAAATATCAGTGTATTGACAGGCGAATCCAGTTTCACTCATTTCATGATTGGCTCAACATTGCTGCAAAGAAGTTTTTACTTCACATGTTATATATTATAAATTGGACAATATTGAAATGTGAAATTGCAAATATTTATTTTATTTTACTATTTAGTTTATGTTACTATTTATTTTATTTGGGTTTTATTTATTTCATGTATTTGCACTTATTTGATTTATATTCATTTATAGTATGAGTCCCTTATCATATGTTGCATGTTCTCGTTTAAAAAAAAGAAGACATAAACCATCAATTTAAAAAAAATGCATGGATTTATAGCGTTTTGAAAAAAATTGATGGATTTATAGCGTTTTTAAAAATAAAAAATAAAAAACTTTGATTTAATCAAAAATATTGTTGTTTGATTTAATAATCATTGTTCAATATGTTCAGACTGAGCCAACAAACCATTTTAACAGGATACATTTAATATTAACAAAATGTGTGAGTCTAGGTAAAAAATGTCATTTTACTGAAAACTATTAAAATGGATATATAGCGTTTTGGAAAATAACTCATATGTAATTTATGTAACTAGTTTGTCTGTCTCTGTTTCCTGGTTTCATGTTAAAAGTGTTCCCCTTCCCCCATGTCTGTGGCTGTTGATTGTGTGCACCTGGTGCCCTGTGTTGTCTCCTCCCCCCCACCTGTGTCGAATTGCTGATTAGTGTGTGTATTTAGGGTCTGTTGCCCTGTCTGTTTTGGAGGCTGAGAGTGTGTGTGAGATCCTGGTGGTGGCTGGTGACTGTGTTCACGCGTGGGCAGCAGATTGATGTTGTGTCATGTTTATGACATAATAAATGCCCACACCGGGTTGTATTTTGGACGTTCTGCCTCTGCCTCCTTGCTTGGTATGGGCCGCTCAATTGTTAGCTTCACACTGCTGATCAAGCTGTGAAGTTATGTGAAGAACTCAAGGATCTTTGTGCAAAGGGAGGATTTAATCTGACAAAGTGGACAAGCAACAGTAAAACTGTGCTGGCATCCATCCTAAAGAGTGAAAAACCCAAAGAGGTAAAAAACCTGGACTTAGAGACCCAAGACAGTCTTCCAATAGAAAGAGCCCTAGGGATACAGTGGCATGTGGAGGAAGATGTTTTCAAGTTTCAAGTCTGCTTAAAATCTCAACCAGCCACAAGGAGAGGCATCATTTCAACAGCCTACTCTGTGTATGACCCACTTGGATTTCTTTCACCATTTATCTTCACTGCAAAGCATGTCTTACAAGAGTTGTGCAAACTCAATTGTGGGTGGGACGAAGAAATCCCAGAGGCTCTCAAGAAACAGTGGCAAAGATGGCTCATGGGATTAAAGCAGATAGAAAGCTTCAAGATTGATCGATGTATCAAACCAAAGAATGATGGACAAATTAAATCTGCACAATTGCACCATTTCAGTGATGCAAGCGATATTGGATACGGTGTTGTCACCTACCTTAAGATGACAAATGAAGATGAAGACGTTCACATATCCTTCATGTCAGGAAAGTCACGTGTCGTGCCTCTGAAAAAAGTCACTGTCCCAAGATTGGAGCTCACAGCAGCAGTACTGGCAGTACGCATGGACAAGAAGATGATCAGAACCGAGCTGCAAATCCCATTATGCAAATCTGTCTTCTGGACTGACAGTACATCTGTTCTGAGATACATCATGAATGAAACGCTAAGGTTTCAGACATTTGTAGCCAACAGAATAAGTCTGATCAGAGAAGCAACAGCAACATCACAGTGGAAATACATCAACACTAAACTGAATCCAGCAGATGATGCATCTCGGGGATTGGCAGCAGAATCGTTCTTGAAATGTAAGACTTGGATAAATGGTCCATTGTTTCTGAAAAAACCTGAGGACAAATGGCCTGAGTTTCCAGACGCACTTAAAATGGTCAATGACAGCAATCCTGATGATCTAGAGGTGAAGAAGGACACATTCAACGTGAACCCAACCATTGCAACTGACCTAAATGGCACAAGCAAGCTAGTGCATCACTACTCTGGAGGAAACTGAAAAGAGCAGTTGCATGGTTCCTTCAAGTAAAACATCTCTTGCTGCTTTCAAGTAAGAAGAGGAAGGAAGTTACTTCTACTCAAGCAAAATAACCAAATCGAATAAAGCTGATTGAGAAGGAGATGAGTGTTTAAATACTCTATGAGAGGTCTCACACTCTCTAAGGATAACTTGGATAAGGCTGAAGCAGCATTGTTGTGTTTGTCAAAAGCAGTCTTTTCCAGAGGAAGTGGACATTTTGAGAAGGGGAAAACCTATCAAAGGAAGTAGCACACTGTATACATTGGATCCAGTGTACGAGAATGAACTGATAAAGGTTGGAGGAATGCTAAATAAAATGGCAATGCCTGAGGAAGCAAAGCACCCAACCATTCTTGGAAAACACCACCATGTCTCTAAAACCATAATTCGAGATATTCATCAACAAGTTGGTCACAGTGGAAGGAATCATATGTTATCCAGGTTAAGACAAAAATACTGGATATCATGTGCCAATGCATTAGCATGTATAAGAATACAAAACTAACGGAGCTGTAAGTATCCGTGCATCTTACTCTGAGGGTGCTTCTCATGTTCTCGCTCTTTAACTCACGCGAGAACAGCATAACGAGACGTGAGCTTGGACTTCAAAATAAAAGACTAAATATTGCACGCATGAAACATTACAACAATAATAATTAGTACACATAGAAAATACACATTACAGTTGAATTATGAACATGTAAAGGCTGCACTTGCATATAGGTTTCACATATATGCACATATAGGTTGCACATTGTTAGAAATTAAAATCAATGTTTTGATGGTATATATGTAGTTTAAACATACCGTCAGTTAAATGCTGTTTTATACTGAAAAACCAGAAAATTATTGTGCACAACCAGTTGTTAAGCTTTTATTCTGAAAATCCTTCATCTCCGGTTAGCAGTTAGCATGTGGCTAATTTACCATTTCTTATAGAGGTGAATTTAGTAGCGAAATGACATGGAGTGATGCACACCGAAACCTACTGATTTTAACACTGTAACTATAGACGTATTATTATTGCTGAATATTAAATGAAGGTACAGTTTATTTGAATAAAGTTATTGTTTACAGACGTGGGTAAAATGTGACAACATCCGGTATGACCAGAAACCAAACCAGCCGTGAAGTATTTTCTGTATTTTTTAGAATATTGACTACAACGTTTAGAATGTGTTAAAGGAAAAGTGATGAAAGACAATATGAGGAGAAGTGGCGTGTTTAAGTATATATTGAATGTCTGAATCCTCTGTTTAACGTAACAACGGACATTAAGATGTGGAGGGCCGGGCCGCAGGGAGGAGCCAGGAGAGGATATATAACAGCTGCACCTGAGCGGTTCGGCCTCTCTTTTCCCTTCGACCACCAGAGAGCGAGAACACAGCTGTTTCTCCTGTCTGAACAATATCCTGTTTGTGACATTACCGCGCCTTTTTTATTAATTAAAGTACCAAATTTGAACCTCCAGAGACTCCATTTAGTCTCCTTTTTAAGCTTCTCTTTCCTGGACGTGAGAATAACGATCATAGTTAACAACATATATGCACATATAGGTTTCACCAGTGGCGAACCGTCAGGGCCTTCAAGGTATTCAGAGAATACCCTGGAACACTCAGATAAAACAAACACAAAATGGATTTAATTATATAAATAAAATGAATAAATGAGAATCGTATCCGTGTTGTTGATCTGTAATATTACAGTGTTACGTTGATTTGTTTGTCCTTCTCGGACCATGCACTACGCATTTCAGTGGTTTTGTGTTTGTTCTGGGTCTCTGGGTAGAATATCCTTCAACAAGGTATTCTACATCCTTGATAGAATACCCTGGCCGTTGCACTGAAAGAGAGCGTACGTTTGGACTGACAGTTTGATCAACCAATCATATATTGATGTGTAGCCAATGGGCGTGTTCTTTCAGAGTTCCCCTCGGTTCTAGGGTATTCTAGAAGGCCCTCTAGTTAACTGGCTCGAGACAGAGGATCTAGAATGCGACGAAGCAATTCATGCCGTTTTATTGTTTTTAACGTTGAAATGACAAGTGCAACAGGTGAAGATGAAGTTGTTGCGGAATTGTTGTGAGTACCCTTTTCAAGACGACAATTCAGTGAAAAGACGGACATTATAATGCCGCGGAGGTGTGTGTGTGTGTGTGTGTGTGTGTGTGTGTGTGTGTGTGTGTGTGTGTGTGTGTGTGTGTGTATATAGAAGGTCCAGCTGTGATAGACACGGTTCACCACTGGGTTTCACATATATGCAAAACATATATGTGCATATAAGTTTCACATATATGCGCATATAAGTTTAGCCTATATGTGCATATATGTTTATTTACACCTATGTTCAAGGTTTATACATAGCCTACCTACATACAAAAAATACAACACACAAGATGTATAAGTCATTAACATACATTTATTGTCAATAAATGTCAATTATTTAGTCTGCTTTTGGCGAGCTCTGTCAGCTTGTTGTTGATGGCTGTACCCAGCTGGCCCTTCGTTGTGTGTGGCCACTTCTTCATTGTTGCCTCTACAGAGAAAAGAAAAGGACATAATGAGATGACAGTGTAAAAATGCTCCAAGCCTTCTACAGACTCCAAGCATTCCACTCCAAAGTGTTGCCAAACCACCTGGTGTAGTGTACACGAGCTCCCCTGTGAGTGTATTGGCAGATAAAGCCCAAAGCCTTTATTCAAACAGATGATCTATTTTATTAGTGATTTGTTTCATATATCATTACTATTATTTTGAATTATCTGAAAAGTCAGTGCATTTACCAAATCTGTCTAAGAAGCTGCTACATTTACAATTATTAGTTAGAATTAGGTAAAGTTTGGCTTTTCAAAATACTGTTTAAAAAAAAATGACATCACATGAACTTCACTTGTATACCAACAACAGAGATCATCAGCACAGGTTGTTTACCAGAAGAGCAATAAGATATGCATTGCAATCAAGACAATTAATTAAAGACATGATATGGCACAAACACAGTACAAAGGGTATGGTCATTGATTAAGGGTGAAGATGCTGGTTATTTAACACTGCAGAGGAGAGCAATTAGTGTCATGGGGTTATTAACGACTATATATTCTATAACACAGAGGACCACCACAGTGGAAGCACACTAGCCCAGAAAATGGGTTCTATTAGAAGAGAGCTGTGATCAAGAAGTGAGCAATTGAACATTTAGTGATCACCCTACAGTAGGTGCTAATCCGTGCAGATACCATTAATGGGTGTCCTCACTTACCTGATGCTGATCCTGATCCTACCATTGATAGCTAATACATAGTGAAACAGGGATGGTTAAAGTAGTCAACTTGAGGCATCTCTATTAACTTTTATTTTCCTTTCTAAATTCATTCGTTTTTACTCACCGATTATGGCCGCCTTTTTTCCTGGGTCCAGGGCTTCCAGCTGCTCCCCATCACCTCGCTTTGGCTTGCCACCTAAAGTAATATTTCATAATTATTATTTTGCAAATGAAAAGTGGGTAATCCTGCTGATCTGCAGCAGCTAATGTTTACATACTAATGGCCCACACTTTAGGCTAGAGTGGTTGTCCAGGGACAAATGATACTCAAGGTTCCTTGGGGGTGTTCCAAATAGACCCATACACATTTGTTTCCAATCATACACTCTGAGTTATGGGGGTCCTTGAAATGATAAAGTTTGAGAACCACTGGGCTAGAGTGTGGGACAATTGTAAAAAAAACATTACTCGTAACAAATTGCAGCAGCGAAAACAGAGAGTAAGAAAATAGTTCAGTTTTTCCATTCTTAGGTGAATCAGTTTAGAAAGAAAAACACATGTGTAAACTGCCTTTCTTTATTAATGACAGGATTTATTTAAAGAGATTTTGAACAGTAGCTTTTTTTTTTACCGTTGAGGTTGCTCTGAAGCAGGGTTTCAAGGGGAAATGTGCCAAGGAGGAGAGTTCGCACCCTTGCTGTGCCAGAGGTGGTATGGATGGATGCCTTCCACGCATCTCTTTTGCAAAAGACTCCTGACCCCTTCACAATTTCAATCTGAAAAATACATCACATATAAATGTATTAGTAGGCCTACAACTTTCACAAATATATTTTATGGAATATCACAATTGATTATTAATTAACATTATACAAACTAACATAGTTTGTATAGATCAGTAGTAAATAGTTGTCTACTGCACAAGAATGATAAAGGCACTAAAGTAACAAATCACTGTCCTAAACTTGATCTAACATGGGCACGCACGGTAATACATCAGTTTTGCAGTTACCCATCAAAAAAATAACCACTGTCCAGATAACATTTTCATGTAACCTATACCTTAAGAATATGCATCTACGTACTGTCTCTGGGGCTTCGGTTTTCTCTGGAGCTTCGGTTCTCTCTCCATGGATCTGGAAATTAAACAGTGACATGACAAAATGTATACGGTTAACTTTTACAGTGGTAATAACTGGGAAATATGGACACAAATAACCTTATATACGTTGTTTTATGTCAAATAGCAAAAATATCCAATCTATATGTTTTCCCGCCTCCCGCCTTGAGAGCTTATAGATACATTTTTGACTTGTTACTTACTTTGTTGTTATTTCCACCATCACCACCACCATCATCATCGTCATCACCAGGCTGCTTCTTCTGAGGCTCTGCAGCTGCCACAGTATTTTGAGGCTTTTTACAAGAGAAGCAAGATGAATTAAAGGGGGATGAAATTATTTTGTAGTTAGCTTTCTACGACATATGACTAATTTGTCTAAGGTTTTTGTCCATTGATTTGATTTCCATTATGATATAATACACATGTGAAGGCGGAGGTTCTTGGCCTGTTGGCAATGAAAAATGTGGCACTGATGAGATTAGCCCTGGACAAACACACATTTGTAGACTATTGCCTCCTACAGAGTCACACCATAAAATATGCATCCTCAGAACAAGAAAAATGTTACTCACCTGCAGGGGCGGACCTAGCACATTTGGTGCCCTAGGCGAGCTTCACCACTGCGCCCCCCCCCAAAAAAAATATCAAAACATCTTAACAGTTATAGAGTAAAGTACTGCACCTTTATTTATTACAAGCAAGAACAAGAGCTAAGAATAAATGTAAAGTGCACACTAAATAATTAAAACAAACAACTTAGCTAACAAACAATAATAATAATAACAATAACAAACAATAAAATAATGTGCAAATTTGCTTTCAAAGAAAATTAAGAAGAAATGTAAAATATGTTACACATGTCAAATAATCAATATATAATATGCTAAATAAATAAAAATTAAGAATTATTTACATTCCACTCCCTATCATCACACAAGGTTAGCCTACATATTAGCTCCTACTGGTTCCCATTTACAGTGCAATCCTTCTGGCCTTCCTCGCTGCAAAGTCATCAATCACATCATCATATGAAATCTGACCACCAACCTCATGGTTAATACTGATTACAGCCAGATCACTGAGGCGTTCTTGAGCCATGGTTGACCTCAGGTATGTTCTCAAGAGTTTTCATTTGGAAAAACTCCTCTCGGCTGAAGCTACTGTTACTGGTAGCGTTGCACTGATCCGCAGAGCAATACACAAGTTGGGATATATTTCGGTGAGCTGCTTTGTGTGTATGAATTTCAACAACTCAAGAGTTGTCATGCTCTTTGATGGCAAGTCAGGTACATTTTCCAACTCCTGAGCCAGCTCCTTCCCATCCAAATCAGATTTCCCTCCATGGCTTAAGGTGTGTGCAAGTGCCTCTGCTTGCTTCATCAGCTCTTGGTGTGGCAGGTCTGGGAAGTACAGAATGCCAAACATGTCTTGCACATGTTTAAGAGTGGTGAACCTCTCCTTTTGTGCTGACACTGCATCCACCACCACGTTAAAGAAGGTTACCTCCAGATTTTGCAAGGCATCCCTCAATGGCTCATCAGGAGACTCATATGAGAAGTGCCTCTGTGTTGACTTCAGCCGCTTTTGCACAAGGACTGCGTCCACATTCATGTCTTCACACATGTCCTTGGCTGATGTTTGTGCAGCCACAAAGCCTGTGGCTCTGTAGGATTCGAGAGCCTTTTCAGTCTTTTTCAGTAGACTTACTGCAACATCCACTTGCATTGTTTGGGACTGCAGGAGTTTGCTCACCTGCTGAATTTGACTTAGCATATCATACCAGACCACTGTGCACAGTGAAAAGCGGAATGACCCCACTTCTTCTGCCAGAGACTGGGCTTCAATCCTGATGATTGGGTCTTTGGCCTGGTTTCTCACCTCAAGCAGTGCCTCTCTCACAGCTGCGGCTTCATATCGCAGAGGCTCCACAGATTTCACTCTGCTCTCCCATCTGGTTTCTGACCACATTTTGAGTGAAAGGTTGACATGTTTCTTGAGGATGGCCCATCTCTGTGTAGAGGCAGAAAACAGGCAGTATAGCTTCTGCACAATGCCAAAAAATGATATGGCATCTTTGGAGCTTTTGGCAGCATCAGCAATGACCAAATTGAGTGTATGTGCCCCACAAGGCACAAACAAAGCTCTTGGGTTCAACTGCAGTAGCCTGGCCTGTACTCCCTAGTTCTTCCCTCTCATATTTGCGCCGTTGTCATATGACTGTCCTCTGCAGTCATCAAAGGCAATCTGCAACTCCTCCAGCCTCTTCAAAATCAGGGTGGACAAACTTTCACCAGTGGACTCCTCTGCTACTAGGAATCCCATGAAGTGCTCTTTAATCTGGGGGTCTTCTTCCAGTGTCACAATTCTGATGACTACTGACAACTGTTCAGTGTGGCTAACATCCGGGGTGCAATCTAAAATGAGGGAAAAGTACTTGCATTTCTTTATTTCTTGCACTATTGTTGATAGAATCTTTCCACTGATGCATTCAATCAACTCATTCTGAATGGTTTTGCCCAAGTAGCTGTGGTGGGATGTTTGACTTTTAATCTTGTGGATGTGGTCTTTCATCACTGGGTCAAACTGCGCCAAAAGCTCAACCTCTTTCAAAAAGTTTCCATTTGAAGGAGAGTGGAGTATTTCTGTCTTTCCTCTCAATGCCATATTTCGCCCTGCCAGAGACTACAATAGCAACCAGTCGTGTCAGCACTGCTCTCCACCGACTCTTCTCTGCCTCAAGGAGGGCCTGCTCTTGTTTGTCTATTGTTGTACCTTGTTTTAATCGAACTGCCAATTATTTCCATGACGCAAAATTGTTCAGGTGTTCCGGACTATTTTCATGGCTGATCAAAGCAGCACTTGCCTTTATCCAATCCGACAGTCCTGCATTTGTTAAATGAATTTGTTTTGGAGAGAAAAGTTGACAACAAAAACAAAAAAGACTGTTCTTCTTTTTTGAATATGTCACCCAACTTCTTTTGATCCTTTCTCCATTTACTAAGGTCCTGCTGAAGTACTGGTGGTGGCAACTTCTCCCATCATCTCTCCTTGGGAAAAATAAATCAGGTGTTATCTGATATGGTCCTCTGCGAACAAACTCTGTCCTCATTGTGTCTGTGAGATGTGAAGGGCAGTCAGCAGGATCGGTTGGTAGTGGATCGTCTTTCTTTGCTGCATCTGGAGGGCATGTGAAGCACATTTTCTCACCTCATATCCACAATATATTCACACACACACACACACACACACACACACACACACACACAAACACACACACACACACACACACACACACACACACACACACACACACACACACACACACACACAACCCCAATTCCAAAAAGGTTGGGACAGTGTGTAAAATGTAAATAAAAACAGAAAGCAATTATTTGAAAGCATGAGGACAATTAGGTTTATAGCTAAACATCTTTACATTTATCAGGCACACACCTGAGAAGAGTGTATGGGTGGAATATGTGGTGCAATCAGGATGAGATGCAGCAGGCTGTTCTGACGTTCCTTGCAGTGGTTCTGGGCCTTTACATATATAGAGAACACACAAGAGCAAATATATTGGCTGGATTAGAAATGGCACGACAGTCATTTTTACATTCAATTATTTATCATCACATCAGGAGCATCTATTGACGTATTGTACTCACCAGAACAAACAGGCACAGTGGTCAGTGGCAGGGTGGAATCAGTGGTCATCTCATCAGGATGAGCAGCTTGCTGTTATGAAGCTTAGCGCAAGTTCAAGAAGGAAGACCATACCCCTGGTGTTACACGTCACTGCAAGCTCCTCTCCCATTAAGTAATCAGGGGCGGTACTCCCCAGCTAGCAATCATTGCACCTGCTAAACCCTTTAAATCTGCTCTTCCCTCTCTGTCAGTTGTCATTTCAGGTGTCAACGCACAAGTGTACGCGTCACGGTGTTCATGGTTAAGCCAAGCAGCAGCAGGGCTTTGGCCCAGCTGAGGGCTTCGTTCCAGCTCCAGGCATTTATTCATCAGCTCCGCAGTATCGCGGATTAAGCTACAGGCTGCGTTCCCCAGTCGGGTAGCGGGTCAGCCGGCCGTCCCGCAAGCCCGGACGCGGGAGGAAAAGACAAGGAAATCTGGCTCCATGGAAGTTCCTCCGGCCTAATGGGAATGGCTACTTCACGCAAACAACTGACGTACGCTTCAGTCTCTTGAGAAGGCATCACTGGCATCAGGGCCGCCTAATGCAGCGCTTCCGGCTTCACGCGGAACGGGTCCTCATCACATGCAGAGTTTTACCCATTCTGGCTTAAACTACAACCCCTCCTGCAGGCAGGCAGGGCTTAAGCTATCCCATTGAAGCTATTCCTCCTGCGCTCACTTCAACAGGCGTCAGGGTAACGTTGGCAAAGGCAGTTGCAACAAATTCACGAGATGTTTCGTATAGCGTTACGACATTTGGGTCATGCAGAGTGAGATCGCTACCCCTTAAGAGAGGGGTGTGGCGTGTGCATGTGTGCGTGGGCATGGTATGAGCGAGCGGGATACATGTTTTTAGAAATAAAC